TTCGTTTCCCCGTGCTTCACCACCCACCTACCTGGCCGGTAACTCCTGGAGAAAGGAGCAAAGCAGTAAAGGAAAACCTCAACTCCAAGAAAGATCCAGCAAAGGATACTAAGCACTAGTTTCCCTTTCAGAAAGTGCGTGGCTGGTTTTAAACCAGGGTCCTTCATCTATAAGAAATGCCAAATGTTTTTATTTAATTAAAGCTGATTTTGAATTTTCTAGTTTAGTATTGACAGCAGAGTAATGTCTAATTTAATCCACATCAAATTCTTTTTTCAGTTAACCATGTTTATACTACAGCACATTTGATACTCATCAGGATGAAATACAATGAAAAAAAATGTGATAGAAACCTTCAAATGGTTAGCGGGCAGGAGACCTTTTATACCAGGCTGAATTTTTTAAAACTATGTTGTAAATACACATATATAGTACATTACCCAGCATACAGAAACACAAAAACACTGTATTGCTATAAAAACTGTTTTACTCTTTTCACACTGCAGCACTCAGTGAATGCTGAATTAATCCACAGAGATCAACAGCTCAGCGAAACTCTTCCCTTGCCTTAACTCACGCAGAGGTCAATATTCAGAGCAATGTTCTAGCACATATCAGCGCTCATGTACCCACGCAACATACATGATCCTAGCCTTCAAGTGTTTTAAGTACACAGTATTGCTGTCACAGTGGCAGCTTGCAGCTAGTATTCCAAAACTAGGTAAGCAATGGAAAAATAATCTGAGCTAACAACAACCATTAAAAAAGCAACCAAACAACAGCAAAGAGAAAAACACAGCTTGGATTGCTTCAAGCTTTGGAAGCTCTCCAAACATTTCCATCAATTTCCAAGACTTGTTTCAAGCTCTAATTCTTGCAAAATCTCATTTTATCCATGGTTTGATCCTCAGTGGGGAGTGAGCAGGGCATTTTCTCTTGAACACCACCAACCGCATTCAGCCAACTCATCCTGCCATGCTTAGATAAAAAGACCAGATTAACTTCTGCAAATGTAGATATGTTCAATATGGGATACATTTAAACACACTGCTATTTATTAAGTGCCAAATCACCATCAATAGCCAACCCTACTAAAATTTCTAATTACACTGCTCAAAATATTTTTGAGAGAAGTATCATTAGGAAATTTCTTGATACACAAGTACCAAAGTACAACTCGGGATGTTTTAAAATCCTACACAGAAGACATAAAGATGTTTGAAATTAATGAAAACAATGGCTGTTTATTAGCACCTTTCCTTTCAGCTTGACAGGACAGTGCCAACTGCAAGATGCACTTGATCCACTCGCATGGGTAACTCCAGGGCACGCGAGGAGCCCCGCAGGGCACTGTGGCACTGCCCTGGGAAACGCCAGCGCGGGCCCAACACAGCCTCGTGCCATGGTCTCCATGTGACAGTCCAAAGGGCAACCACAACACACAGCTGCACACAGGCAGAGGTGCAATTGCAGAACACCCATGTCCCATGTTTGTCTGAACCCTTCGCTGTGACATCCTCGTACCTCCAGCTGCTCACAAGGAAGGTCAGCCTGGAATCGAGGGAAAAGCACCCCAATAATAAGGATCAGTGTCTCCATGCGGGATCCATGTAGCCAGAGACCCATTACAAAAAACATGTCGTGTTCCCTTCCTAACCCCTTTGCTTCAGCAAGCCGAACAAAGCTTCCCGGCCGCACTGCTGCCTTACCTCAGGGTTATGAAGAGAAGCACCTGAACAGGACCACAAGCTGCTTCCCCCTTCACTGAGGTCTGCTCACAGCTGTTTCAAGTTCTGAGCTGATTGCATTGAAAACGGCACCACCTCATCTCCAGCAAAGCTCAATATTCCACTGCCATGCCACAGCCTAGAGCTCCATCAGGTCAGCTAACCCCTTCTTGCCCATGCATGTACCTACATACAGCACAGTGGTGCTTCTGACCCGCAGAAATGGGGGCCGGTTCTGGACCCAGAGCACCGTGTTACTTTGCACACCCCAGCAGGCCTCGGTCAGCGATGCTGCCAGCACCCAAACACATCCCCACACTGAGCGGCCGCAAATCTGCTTTATAAAGGTCTTAATTCATTTACAACTTTCCTCATTAGAATAGTATTTCTAATTTGATAAAATACCTGGGAAAAGGTGAAGCCACTGACTACTACAGTAAGACAGGTGAGCCAAATTCCTGTAAAAAAACACAACTCTGTTGAAACCGTTTATATTCTTTTCTATATTGAAACTATCTATATTTTATGAATATAGATATTTCTGTTTTTAAATTGATAGTTTTTTTAAAATAAAAATGATAGAGAAATGGTATCTGGAATTTGATTTAAAAGCCGATCAATTTTTGCAACCGCAGTTAACACTACTGTCCACATAACAAGAGAACGCTGCACCCATTCTCCAGTTTTGTCAATCTGGAGAGAGAACTCAACCTTCAGAAGGATCCTCTGCATTTTCCCACAAGCCCTGCTAATGAACCCGAGAGCCAGCCCAGCTCCTCTGCAGTATGCCAACCACCTGCAAACTGCAGCACACAGCAGAAAATCTCTGCTCCATCCTCTTCTGCAATGTTAGAAACACACTGGCCACACAACCCACACACGCACCTTCACAGAGCCCCAGCCTGGCAATACCGAGCTAGGCCCTGGGGAAGGGGCCTGGGATGCCCTACCACGCAGGTTTATTTGACCTGGGACTATTGATGGAAACCGAGTGGCCCATAAAAGTGACGCCCCAAAAGTGACCTAAAAGCCATCCACTGACTAACTCCGCACGACAGCTCTTGGCGTGTCAGGAAAGGGCTTCCAGGAGCCGCACGTCTCTGCCGCAGCATCCCCATGCAAGGGCAGCCCCAAACATCTCCCCACCCGCGCTCCTGTCGGAGAGCCCTTGGGAGCAGGAACCGGCCAACGCAGGTAACGTGTTTCTGTATGCAGGAATTCACTACAGAATTCAAATACTGTTTCTTCTAAAACGATTCTAAGACCTAAGCATATTTTTTAAAATTAATACTGGTTATTAAACTATGAAATTGAGTTTCAGGCACAAGCTAATGTAGGTGTGTAAATAATCAAGTCCTCTCATCACCTTTATGCAGGAACACAGGGTTAAAGCTTCAGACATTTGTGTAGGCAGCACTTGATTTTGCAGGAGCAGTTATTTACATACACTACATAAACATATGCATAATAATTTTGTACAACACAGTAGTTTTCAATTATAACTTTATAGGATGAAACCTCCTCCTCCTCTATCTGCCCATAAGTTTTTAATAAAAGAAGAATGACTCCTTTCTTCAAGGCTGCGGAGAGCAAGACATATCAGCACTACCCTGAAAGATATAAGACCATTATTCTGGATAACTGCATGAAATTATTTTCAAGGCAGATACAAAATAGGATAGACATGAAAATAAAATCAGATTGGCATGGGAACTTCCAAGAAATTTACTAAAAATATCTTTAAAAGAAAAATAATGAGCTATGAACTGTAAAAGACTTACCTGCTATAACAGTTTGGTAACAAGCCTATTTTCCTGAAACACAGCACTAAACTATTTAAAAAGTAGTCCAGAAAAAAAAAGTCATAAGGAGCTGAGAGAAACTTTAGAAAAAACATATAAAGAAGGGAAAATAAACAAAATAAAGCTTATTAAAACAAGAGAAAATATTGCCTCCTCTTCCCGCAGAAGATCCCAAGTTTTGCACTGCAGTGTCAGAAACGCTGCAGCTGAGCTCACTCAAGGTTGATAAAGGTGCTGGGCAGCAGATTGGGCTCAGGCATGCGCAAACAGCCAGGTTTAACCCTTCCTGGCAGCAACTGGGCACCTTTCTGCCAGTGGAACATAATGGTAGCTACTCTTTAAGGTACTCTACCTATTAAGACTACCTAAATTTATTACTCAGCTAATATTTGCAAGCTCCTAACATAATTTTGCTAGTATCAACTATAGCTGATTTAAACAGAAGAGCGGAGGAAGGA